ACTTGTGGGAATTCAACACACAACATCTCAGAGAAAAGCTAATCATGATTTTTCATACACTATCTAGCTACTTAAAATAATGACGGGAGCAGATTCCGTAGTCTATGAGAACAGACGCCGTTTTCGGCTCAAATAAAAATATTTAATTTGTTTGTTAATTATTAACAAACCCCAGCCCAACTTCTATTCCGGGGACACTTTCCTTGGTCCTTAGGGTGTCCCCTGACCGGTACACAAAATAGAGGACGTGAAAACAGTCCTCAGAGCAAGTTCCGTTTACATTCGTTTCACTCGTAATTGTGTCCTCTCGTCCTTTTCTGCTCAGTGCAAGAAGAAATATGAGACAGCTCAAGTACTCCTTCAAGGTCTGGAAGAAGACGCCCATACCGATGAAGATCGGCGGCTACTACACAAATGTATCCTTTTATATCTTGTTATCGTTTGCTTCATGTTTATCCCAAGTGCTCAAAGCACGCAACATGTTGCGTTTTCCACTAATTACAGTAGTTTTAAAAATGGTTTCGGAGGGTTGGAAATCCTTGTTTTCTTCGAGTAAGCTTAGAGTTAATCGCAGTTGTGATTGTCTTCCGAACATCCTACGTTGATAATGAGTTTAGAAAATTTATAGCAAAGCTTTGAGCTCTGCGTACGAAATCGTGGTAATTTAGTTTATCAACACATAATTGTTTGGTTTTGCTTCAAACTGCAACAACTCAATGGAAATTCCTGAAGGAGATACACATTTCGCAGACTGTAGACCATAATTTGTTGTGAAGATGAGAGAAAGCTCAAATATGTCGACCCTTAACGGGAGACTCAGATAAAGTCGCAGTGGATAAACGATTGACGTGTATCTCAAGGACGAGGTCTCGCAGGTCAAGTCAAAGTAGCTCTCGTGGTGTGAACGCGTAATAATTTGATAGGCGCAGTGTGAATGCACTCTAGGGAGAGTTGTAAAGACGCCTTTCGAACTCATTTTAGTAAGATAACTGACGGGTAAGGTGGACACGTATGGTGTTTGCGTCGTAAATGCAGCTGTTGGGCAATTAATTTTTAAGCTGCCTATCCATATTTACAATTGTATAAAATGCTGGTAGTTATTACATGCGTTTTCTCCTTTGTTCATACGAGTTTAAGGGGATGAATAGAGGTTTTTTAGGTGAGGATGAGAAAGTTTCACCCTGCCCGTGGTGCAATGTTTATTTATTGCTGGATTATACGCTTTTTATTGCCTGTTGTATAAGGGACTTCAAGTTTTTTCGTGTTATTTATATTGAATATTTGTGGTTTGTATATTATTGAAGACGAGGTCTAAAGTATTGCGAAGCGTATATTATACTTTTGTTTCTTTATAAACTATTACGAAACCTTTTGATAAACAGAGCCTAGATCACGCTATTTTGTATAATTCCAGTCCATTTTCCCAACTTGCCTTAAAAGATTATTCTATTCTGATTAGAATTCAAAACAGTCGTATGGCTGAACAGCGTTTATCGCGCAACCGATTTTTATTCTTGTGTAATTATTAGTTTGAAGGCTTCCTCTTTATTTTTAAAAGCATACTGGATAAATGATTGCACCCAGGAGCAGTGTAATCATTTATGATGTCGCTTCCTGGTTTCGTTTTTTAGCGCGCACATGAGTGAACTTACGCACATCGGTGCCGGGTTACTTATGCGCACCATTTATAGAATCAATTCGATACAAAATCAAGAAAATAGCGTAGATAGATCTTGGTATAAGGCTATTTGTATTGTAATAACGATAGTTATCAGATGTAAATAGAAAAGTAAATCTAAGTGAAAAAATCGTTTCATACGATTCATGATTGCATTTGAATGTTTATAACAACAGAGTTTTGATAGTTAAAAATTGTAATTTCTAATAATTTAAAAGTCCTTGGGTTTAATTTGAAATAAAATCAGTACGCTCTTTATAAAAATTTTTGCTACGGAGGAGTCAACAAAGTGAAATTTATCCCAGAGCTTTGTCTTTTCTTTTGGCTTAAAATATTCACAAAAATAATCAAATGTCTTTTTGTAAATTAAATCATACGAAATAAATGTTGTACCATGCAAAAGGTCTGCCTAGTGAATGATTTTTTTTTCTGCAGATTAAAAAAAGATAGATTGACAAAAAATCTCATCTTGATTAACGTGGTCCAGTATACTAAGCGAGCCGCTCATTTATTTATTGGTTTTTTTACGGCGACAGTCGTAGGGATTTCAAGAAATGAAAATGAAGCTTGCGGTTTATAATGCTTGCTAATTAATTTTGCATTTGTAAAGAAAAAACGAGTTTTTAAAATCGATAAAAGGGTTGAAACTAAATTGCCTGGAGTTGTTCTGTAATGTAGCAAACTTTGCACAATTTTTTGTTAAAAGTAAGGAGCCTTTGCTATTTATACACTTACATAAAGGGATGTTCATTTCTCTTTAAAAACTGCTAAAGATTTTAGAAAAGGAGAGTTTTGGTGGAAAACCTATTATAAATTCTACGGTTTTCCATGTCTTTTAGGAAAAAACTCTTTCACAAGAAAACACTTCAAGATCAAAACGGTTAACCGGAAAGATGTACAGATTATATTCTTTTGGCCAATTCGAGCACATGTTTTGTATGGTTTGTTTTCGAAAAAAATCATGATGCTCTTTATTTTTTCGCTTGCAGTGACCGTTTTCGCCTATTTTGTACTATTTTCCCCTTTCTGCAGTTTATTTTTGCTGTTACTGATTTCATGAATTTTATTTAAAGTGGACAGTCTTAGCGGAAAAGAAAGCAAACTTGTTCATCAACTCTAATTAGTGCTTGAAGTACGTTGTTGAAATTGCGATAGGTGCTAATGATAACATTAGTAAAAGAATCTTAATTGTTCCTAAGTAAAAACCATTTGTGAGTTTTACATTAAATTATTGTTTTTTTTTTATACCCGGTAGAGAAACATTTTTTCTTAAATTTGTTAACAAATGAGTCTTGCTAAGGAACTACTGGCAATTCGCACAGAAAGAGATTGATTCAAATTTCTGCTGGTTCTATTCTAGACTATAATTTTATAATGATTATTTGCTATGATTAGTTGCTTTTTAGTGTTAGTGTTTCATATGAATACCACAAAAGTAATCAAAAAGCAATTTATCTTCGCTAGACTAAAATGAACCATCAGTCGAGAGAAGTCGACACTGAGGAGTTCAAACTATCTTTAAATATAGTACAAGGGAGTGGTCGACAGAACTCACTTTGTTCAAGGCAGCCTTCAAACAGTTTTTTCCTTGACACTGGTTCATAAGGGCTGCAACTTTTTGCTACCATTAACATCAGTGAATGGACAGCCGCATTTCAAATACATCATGTTCCTATTAGTAAACCAGAGAAATGAATTCAAAGTGTTCAGGAAACCAAAAAAGTTGACATAACACCATAACCTTTTCATCTCAAAATTGCACATAGTGGTTTGAACTTCTGTCAATTCTAACTTTTAAGCGATACATCTCTGTAAAACGAGATGAAAACAACTTATCAAAACTTATCCACTTACATACTAACGTTTAGCAAGCCGCATAACACTTTCATCTTAAAATTGCACATTGGAGTTTGAACTTTTGTCAATTCTAGTTAGCGAGAGATATCAGTAAAACGAGCTGGAAACAACTTATCCTCTATATACCGAAGTTTAACAAGCCTTACAAGCTTTGAACTTAAAATCCGATTCACATTGATTATTATCTTGGGATCAGTCCATAAAACGGTTTTGCAAGTACGTTGCTGCGCTCTCGGGTTTATAGAAGTGTGCTCGAAATTATAGCAGCCGCTCCTTCGCTGGCTAATTCTGAATCAGTATTACTTCGTTTCTTTTCTTTCCCAAGTGAAGAAGGTTCTCATATCTCGCTACAAAAACCGCTTGTTTGTCGTACTTCTTTCGTTCGCCATCCAAGACCCTTCTCAGTTTGATTACTTCATCGTGCCATATCTGTTCTGTGGCAAAACCTTCGAAGCTCGACACATAAGCGAAATGCTCTGCTGCATCCTGTATAAACAGCCCACTTTCTTTGGGCGCTGGTGGACATTTTACACTATCATAGGGCAGATGAAGCGAGGCGACCACATCCGCTTCACTCCAAGGTCCGTACGCTTCTTTCCCAAATTCAACACGAAGCTTGAGTGGACATGTTAAATCCATGACTTTCTCTGGACCGTTCGTACCGTTAAAATAGCGAGCGAGGATTTTGTCTCCTTTGCTAAGGGCCTTGTTGAGTTCGCGTCCTTCCAGGCGCGTGGAAATCCATGAAGACTCTCCATACTGCCTGTATTCATAGTGTGATGTGTAGTTAAGGACGCGGAACTTTGGACCCTCGCGACTGCGGTAGTAATGCGGCTTTCGAAACGATTCCTCCTGTTCATCTCCCTCTTCGCCTAAAGCATCTCCGGACAAACAAATCCCCATGTTCGTCTTCTCGAGGTTTATGCTACACCAGCTGCCGGACACCTGCATATACGTACAGCTGGAAAGGTAGTGCTCGGTGTACGTGAATGTACAAAACTGAAGAACAGTTGTTTGCGGACATTTCAACAAGACAAAGATTAATTACCATAGGAAGGGCAAACCTTTTAAAGCTTAATATGTGTTTGTGGTTGGTATAAAAGTATAACAGTGGCAATAAAAACAATATAAACAATATTATACCTCTACTATTATCTTTTATTCAAGGCTCTAAGCCTTTAGGGGGTTACCATAGTGTTAGAGAAACAAAAGTAAGATAATTTATAAGAGAACAAGCTAAGTTTTCGTAAACGTCTGGATCAAGTCTCATAATATATCAGTCTAACAGCGGGATACACAGACCACTAAAACTAGAAGCGATTCGTTCAAATTATTCAGTCTAAAACTTATTAATATTTGTCATAAATGATTATAAATTTGCTCTTACGTTTAGGCAGAAACAGCTCACTCCTCAATATTTTCACTTTGCCCCAAGTTATTTCAAAGATGTAGTTCCAAAGTCTTGCGAAACATGGATCTTCGAGTTTTTTCCATGCACCTTATTCGTAAAATCACGAGCAGATTTCAGTGCTTTTATGGTCATTGATCATTTTGCTTGGTTCTGTACTCTTTTTGTTTTGAACTATACAGTAAGATATTTTTGTAGAAGATGTAATATTTAACGCATTTTATACTCGCACGCCAACGAATTGTTCTGGGGACTGTCTATGGTTAGCAAATACAGTGAAACCCCTCCTCACGGCCACCTCGTTATTACGGCCACTCTATTTTGGCCGCCTGGCAAAACGGCCAAACATTTTCTTTAAAAAAAAAACCCTTGTTAATACCCGTTAATGCGGCAATTTTTTTTGGCCCATTGGTGACCGTCTTAACGGGGTTTCACTGTAGCCTCTCTTAATATAGTGACAGATCTATTTACTCCACAGATCCAGGAGCCCATAACCTCCTGACAGATCCACTTGTAATCTAACCAAGATAGTTTTTGCATTCAGTGAGTCATCAGTAATTAAAACCAAGACTGAGGCCTTGACAGAGTCGATTTACCACTCCATCTCTGATTGGGCTCATGACCATCGCACTGTTACGTAACGTCGTTCGACATGTAAGGAATTGTATGGGAGGAAAAACGATACGATCGTCTCCGTAACCTACGAATGTGAAAGGATGTAAATAAAAATCGGTTAACCTCACAGCGTTTTTACTTTCCTATGTAGTTCCCGAGCAAGCCACACAGGAAACCACACAGGAAAGAAGAAACACACAACTTAAGTGTGGTTAGCCGATTTTTATTTAAATCCTTTCGAGAAACAATCGTTTTTGCCCCATACAAAACTTTGTATACCAACGTTACGCAACAGTGCCAATTTCGAGCTTGGGTGACCTGTGGTTAGATACAAACTCTGTGATACGTGAAGATCCTCACGTTTGCATAGACTTGTTTTGCTTTGGTCTATGCGAACAGCTGATGCAACGCAGTAGCCAACGTTCGATTCTGACATGACTCCGAGGCTTTCTGGTCATATTTCTATATTTGGCTGGGCTTTCTTTGTGCGTAAGTCTCTTCTGGGAATTGCAAGACAATGGAGTCGTGAAAAATTTGCAATTTTGTCCCCAAAGCCTCGCATTCATGATAGAATTTTATTTTTTCGAACGTGGGCTATTCAGAAACTTCAGTTGTTAAATCAATGTTTTTGAAAGTCTGGTGGCGTATTTTTAATTCTTGGTATACGGTTTATAAAGTACCTTCTGCGATGTTAAAACCAGCCTTCATATAAAGAAAGACATAATATTTGTCGGTTGCAACAAAGAGACAAGGGTGGGATGTCGCAGAATTTGCATAAAAAAGGCAGTTGAGTTCCCGTGCGTGACGTCAACTGCAAAGGCAGCATTTAGCCAGTGGATCTGTTTATCTGCGAAACTCAGTTTATGTGAGCTTATAGCTATAATATAGAAAGATGCACGTACTCTTAAAAAATAACCAATAGCTTCTGTTTCAACAACGTGGAGTAGATAATTAGATCACTGTTCCTCAAAGACTCCCAGCATTTTTAATGTTCCGGCACTCAATTTGAGCAACGCGAACCGTGTCCGGCGTTCTCGTCGAGTAAGATTTTACATGTAATTTATTTACATATCAGCCGAACTGGGAGAACGGTCTCTGCATCTTGTCTTGTTTAAATTGTCGTTCAGAAAAGAGTCCACATAAATCGCTGGGATACAGTAGAACCTCGACTCCGTTAACTCGAATTCCCGCTTTTAAACTCTAACTAAATTTCCTTTCCCTTGATCAAAATTTCACTGAAATTTACCCTGATAACTCGAATTCCTAGCTAACTCAAACTATTTTTCGTTCCCCTTCAGAGTTCGAGTTACCGGAGTTCCACCATACATGTACTGCGACTTCATGTACGCTGATCAATGCATGAAGGTAGCATTACATGATACTGCACGTGCGGTTTGGCACGTGTAGCAGGTGATAACGCGCAACAGTATCCCGTGCAATGGTCGATTCCTTAAAAAATATAATAATAATAACAATAACAATAGGACATTTGCATGATGGCGTCATTTTACTACTACGACCAGAATTATTTTCGTTTCTTTTTCATATTTAAATTTGGTAGCCCTAGTGAGGTTAAAATAATAAAAGCCCTAATTTGCACAAGAAAGCAAAACCCAAAAGGATCCTCCGGAAGTCCCGATAATTAACGGGCCCGGTAAGCCGTCTCCGGTTTCATTAAAGATTGAGGTTTCAATAGTTTTGCATCTAACATGATAAAACAATCAGTTAATGAAACAAAATGGAGTAGCTTGGTTGCCAGGACCCGCGCTCTTACTCTTTACATTTCGATTTGAATATTTGATTTCGGGCCCGAAAAGTTACCGGGACTTTCGAGAAACGGACCTCTGGTCATAGTCTAGTAGTAAAATGACGCCATCATGCAAATGGCCTATTAGTCTTGAAAGAAAATCAAGCAAAGGGTTAAAAATAAAAAATTACAGGTGTGAGTTAAGGTCTAACCCAAACACCTTCTGGCTGACAAGGTTCCTACTTCCTGACAAAATTACCCAGACAGGAAAGGTTTACACTGGCTATGTATCAACTTCATTTCATGGGAAATTTCACTTGCTCTACTCTTCTTTAACAAGACAAGGCGTTTTAACCTAACCTGTTTGCGTTTTAAAATACTGCACTTAAAGAGAACACCCATCCCCGTCCAGGGTTTTATCTAGGATTTATTTTTTGGGAGAAAGTCCCGAGTGGCCGAAGGGCACGAGCTTCCTAGGGGGTCCGGTCCCCCCCGGAAATTGTTAAAATGAACATGCGCTGAGATGCAATCTGATGCATTTTGGGGCACCATTTGTTTTTCCCTTCATGCACGATTTTCGAAGCTTATCTAATAAATTCCCTACGATTTTCTGAAGTTCAATTTTCGCATCAGTTTTAATTCCCAGGTTAGGCCATTTTTCATAGAAAAAAGGAAACTTAAAATTTTCGGATTAAAAAATGTCATGCAGAGAGGAATTAGAAAATGTCTCACTTTCGTAATACCGCGTGAAATCCTCTATTAAGCTCCCCGGGGGGCTTATTTCTTCCCAGCTCTTTTGAGGCGGGGGGGGGGCTTAAAAGAGACGGGGGGACCTTATTAAATTTAGCGTAATGCATCAACGAGAGCAAGGTTTCTCGAGGACGGACTTGTGGTTACCGGGCGCTGTACTGCTTTTTCTAACAACAATTCTCCACAGAGAACTAGAGCATAAAGGTGAAAAACTTCAGCACGTGAAGTTGGAGGTTATGCGGCCGAAGACTACAGCCATTTTTTTTTTCTCTTTTCCCCACCCCCACCAAATTGCGGGCAATAAATCCAACGCGGTTTTTATTTCTATGCGCGCGCGAAAGAGGAAATATTAAAAGGGTCTTCTTGATTGCAGCCTTCTTCAGATGTAACTCGTTGTGAAACTAGTTATAGAATTGCACACATTTTAGGCTTATAGCAGTAACGACACGTTGATATTTCAAGCAACAACGATTTCCTGTCTGTCGCCTTGAAGGTTTTGAATTGAAAGGAGAATTAAGTGACGTAAAGATTAAATTGAGCGATTGTTCGCTTCGATGAGGAATATAAATTGGAAGCATTGAGTCCGAAGAAAATATCAAGAACATTTTAACTCCAGTAAAGACAAACTAAACAGTTTTTAAATAAGGTAAATAGCTCACCCGACAAGGTGGGAGAAGAGAGATTGTCACGTGTCGGCAATATTACAGTCTCGTGCATCGTTGAAAAGAAACACGTTTATTCCACCTTTTACTTTCAATTTTGGGTCATTTTGTGAATTGCAGTTAACTAAGACCTTTTTCCAACTACACGACTCTATCAAGTTTGAAGTATTTCGTCCAGCGGGAGAGAAACCTATTCATTGAACCACGATAAGCAGCCGGTCACGTTTATCTCTGTTTTTCACCGCCAGTCACGTTTGACAGACTATTTGCTCACGTTTCTGCAACACGCTCGCGTGCGGTTTTGTTGTGCAGTAGCACGATTACGTAAGGACGTAAAACAGCATTTTTGATCGAAGTGCAGGAAGTTCTGGAATACGCCGACCTGTTACCGAAAATTGTATTGATAAACAAGTAAGTCATAGATTATTTTAAATGCAGAGAGCCTGCTTTTTCCTTGGAGAAGCAAAGTCTTATAGCGAACCTGTTCGATGGTGCTTATTCCTGTGAAATGCATACCTTGTACACACTGTATGTAGTCAAAACTGTTAGAAGCAGAAGCGAAAGTTTTTTTCTGTCGATGTTTAAAATACCCTCGCGACTTGTTATCCTCAGCTGTGTCCTTCAAGGCATCAAAACAGGTTATTTTCATGAAACGCTTGCATTTGCCTTCTCGTCGAAGTCGTAGCTTTTTGTTACGTTTTTCAGTTCTTATGATGTACAAGACATATTTGTGGTCTTTGT